CGGCGAAAAGGTGTTATTTCAGGTAACTTTTCGTCTGTTTCAGTCCAAGCCAGAAAGATTCAAGCTGTACATCCGGTGCCTTCTTTCAAAATAAAAGCTCCCCTCAGGAGTTAAAAACACACTTTGGAGGCCTGCAGCCTCAGGGTGGGGCATCCGGCTGGCGTGCCGAGCCCCGGCTGTTAGATCTTCCCTAATTAGCTCATGGACAAGACCTTAACGAGCCAAAACTGGCTTCTCCGGAGAGAAACTCAGCATTCCTTCCAAGTTTGGCATCCAGGAAGAAGTGTGCGTCACTCAAAGGCGTCCGGGTTAGTAATAGAAACGGACGAACTTTGGTTCCGCCCTCAGGCGTAAGATGAGTCGGTGAAAGGAAGAAAGATAAAGACTTGCCAGCCAGGCGCCAGTCAAGGATAAATCCTGTGGTTGTTCAACAACAGAATATGATAACCTCTTTTCAGCTTTCTTCTGATTGGCTCTAAGAGAAATCACTGCAAAACATTTATGATGATTAATTAACATTTCTGTTTTATAATCAGTTCTGAACCATTCTGTTAGTCCAGATAAATGAAAGATTTTCTCAGGAAAAATCTATAATTATATTACTGTGTTCACAGTAAAATAAAAACAGTGATTTATATAAAAACACAATGAAAACATTGTAATGATTTTCTCTGGGATTTTTTTTATACCATTAATTAATCTTTTAGGCACGAAAAAGAGTAGAAGTGATTCCACTTTCTTGTGACAGTCATTATTATGATTTAACAAATGCATAAACATTCTTAAACAGCAAATGAATCACGAACAGAAGAGATTGTTCTGTCCATTATCTGATTAAGAGAACTGAGAAATCCCCCTAGGTTAGAATGACCAGTCATGACCTAAATAGAATTCAGTTTGTGACAGTTCCTGTCTTCTCGTCAGGCCTGTGCGAGGCCTGCTTCGAGGCAGTCAATCTTGTTTCTTCACTCGAGGTGACCCCTACACTTTATTGATGCTTCTTGAATGAAAAATCTACAACAAACAAAAGAAAAAGACAAAGAAGCAGCCGAACTAGTAATCCTCAACAACTTTAATTTTTACACCAGGAGCTAAAGTTCTGTTTTAGGAAATCACATCCCCAGCAATCAGTGGTTGTAGGATTAAGTTGTAAAAGAGTTCATACACCGCTAGTCGGCGGTGTTATACATATATTGT